AAAAATATTTTTTACTGTATTACTTTTTAGCTTAAGTTAATCATATATGTATGAGGGATAGTCCACCCCCAGCAAAAAAAATGAAAGAAAGCTCCACTGGGCAGAGCTTTTGTAGGATGCAACTTTCCGGTCAGCAGTTAGTGCACCCAGTGGCGTCACCTGGGAAGGTTCTCTTTGGTCACAGTGAATTTTTTTGTGAAAGCAGTTTCCCTTGAACCTCATTTTTTTGTGATGGTCAATGTTAAGAAAACAGTGTGGGGCTGTGAAAATGTGTTTCCTACTCTGGAAAATGCTGCAGTAACTGTTGTGATGTAGAACACAGCTTACAAGGACAGTGCTATGGGAAAAACTCAAGTGTATGAGTAGTTTTCTTGTTTCAAAAAAGGTGAAATGTTGATTGATGACAAACCCTGTTGACATCCGTCAACTTCCTGAGCAGATAAAAATGTCAAGTTGTAGTGCATTTGGAGTTCTCTCCACCAGGTCAGACTGTTAATCAAGCTTTCTATTTAGAGGTCCTGAAAAGACAGCATAACTGTGGGACAAAAAAGGCCTGATTTGTGGCAGACATGGTGGGGGTGGGGGACTGGCTTTGCCACCACCACAATGCACCTGCTCACGCAGCCCTCTTGTGTGCCAGTTTTTGGCAAAAAAGAGCATGCCTTTCTTGCCCCATGCACCTTCCTCAACTGACCTTGCTCCACGCGACTTCTTTTGGTTTCTGAGTATCAAGAGGGACATGAAAGGACAGTGATTTGATGATACAGAAGAGGCAAAGAAAAGACTGACGGAAGTGCTGTCAGTCATCAAAACAGATGAATTTGAAAAATGTTTCCAAGATTGGGATCACAGATTTGACAAATATATTAAGTGTAATAGAGAGTACTTTGAAGGTGATAAGGATGTTTTGTAAAAAAATTTAAATACATAGCTTTGGGGTGAGGTTCCTTTTTGAGGGTGGGGGCATACCTCCTCATCAAGGAAAACCTCTGAAATAGCCAAGAGTCCAGTAATTAAAGACCTGGATGGGATGCTGTAGTTTGGCATGCTCTAGCCTGCCACCAAAAACATGCATCTAAATTAAAAGTAGCACATTGTTTATTAAAAAGCAGTGATTTAACAAATATTCTTCCTTATGAGAAGAACCTGATACCTAGCCTGTTGTTCCCAAAAATTCGAATAGTCCCCTTGCCACCATCTTCCATCTGATGGAACATTTAGTCAGGGACAAGATAATAAATGTATTAAGAACATACTTTTCAGGACATTTTTCAAGAGCTGAAAACCAACTAAGCTGTCAGTGCTCTATCTGTTTAGAATTTATATAACTAAACACTACCAACCTCCATGTACTTTATATCATTTTCCCACTGGCACAGTGCTCCAAAGGCAAATAGGTTTCATCCACCTAATACCTGCCGATAGTTATATATGAGTACCAGTTACGATTTACAGGTATTCACACTGAGTTAACTCCTTTCCTTACTGAAAGGCCACAGTCGCATTGGTTGGAAACAAAACAAAGCACAAAATATAAGTGATATCCATGATCAAACAGAGCAAATTGAAAAAGAAAAGTTGTGATCCAAACTGACTAATTCAATGTAACACATTTCTTGCTAAATTACACCGGTCATTCTCCCAACACTCTGTCCAAGAATTCATCTTTGCTTCTCTGATAAACTCCTCTTTTATGACTTTGCTAATTGCTAGAAACCATAAATAACTTAGGGAATGATTTCTCTGTCATCAAAATGGAATGTAGAAGGACATATGGGAATATTAATACAGATAGATTGGTGTAAATTGGCCTGAAGAAACATTGATTTAATAATAAGGATAAACTTATAAAGTCTCAAGATTGAACTGCTAAAGGTTTCACTTAAGAATGGAATTCTAAAGAAAGGTTCTTAGGGTTAATTCTTACCAGCTCAGCTTTGACGAATGTTTATATCAACTATTAACATTTTTATAACTTAGATATGCTTATTGTGGTCTAGATTTCACAATCAAACCAGGGAGGTTCGATGAAGATCCTTCATCACATTGTCACGAATTCTGATCTAGAGTGGAGCACTGTACTCCCACTGCCCAGAGTCCTTCATCGTGAATTGTCTCAGCTGGGTCACACCAACATGAAAAAGTTTTCCTTCCTAGATGCTAGCTTTGCTCCTAGTCAGCTTCAGAATTTAGCACGTCTGGTCATGAAGGAGGAGCCCTGGGGGCACACCAGGTTACTCATTGGACTGCTAACGGAAACATCAGCAGTTTGAAACCCCAGCCTACTTATCCCATAAAAAGTTATCGTCTCAGAAACCCAAGCAATTCTATTGCATCCTAGAGAGTCACGATGAGTTGGTCTCAACTCAATGGCAGCGAGTGAGGTAATGTTTGGGAAACAGAACTCCAGGAATGTGTTTATGTCTCCATGAGATAGGACTTTCAGAGCAAAAGACTCTGATATCTGTGTAAAGAATGACTGATTGGGTAACAAGTCTGGAAAGTGAAGATGCAGGCCTCAGAGATTTAGAAACATGTTCCCTGGGGCCGTCTGCTTACATTCTATAGATGGTAAACCTGGGACCCTGGATCTTCAGAGAAGGTCTGGCTGCCTTAGAAAGCTACGGCCTTTCTGTTTCCTTTCTTCAGAGAGGAAGTCCGCACAGCCGACAAGGTTAAATTTTGAAATTCATAATGTCAGAGTTTCTCCCCTGAGGTACAAAGTCCTGTAGGGGCTGAGTACATCTGGATCCCATCGTGGCACCCAGTCCGGGATGAGAAATGGATACTAAAACTGCTATGAAGGAAAGGATTTGTCCTCTGATCCAGATACCTCTTATTTCCTGTCAGGATCAAATAAATAAATAAAGATATAAAAATGATCATACACTCTGCTTTCATTATTCTGACCTGTGCTTTTAAATGTTCCTCTTGTCCATCGTTACTTTACTAAGTAAACAGTATATTCACTTAGGTTTTAAGCACAGCCATTGCTTTACAGGGTGATTTTTTGCAGTCTTGGAAATCAGGTAGTCTGCTCATTTTTAGAGAATAATTTCACTTCCTCAGTTTTCAAATGTATTTCACATAATTATTAGAAATTAAGAGTAAGTTGATTTTAAAAGGTAATCTTTGAATCTATCGTCTAAACTATTTTACAATCTACATTTTCTTGTTCTATAACTTGTTGGTCAGTTTACTGAAGTGTGGTGGCTTCTGTACTACTACGGAAAGGGACGTAATGATATCATTCTCACTCATACCAGCTGCACCCAGGCAACTTTCAGGCTCCTTGACTAAGGCAGATAAGGAAAAATAACCCTGAGAGATCACCTGAAAAATATGCCTTGTAAAACCTATGGAACACAACTGAATACTATTTGATGCACTAGATCCTAGAAGATGCATTAAAATGTAAACCAATCAAACAATGAACCAGTTATACTAATCCTCAGAAAGATGGTACAGGATTGGGCAACGTTTTGTTCTATGATAATAACATCACTGTGGTGCCAACTCGATGGCCACTGTAAACTAGAATGATTGTTCTCCTGGACACCCCAGGCCAACAGGTTTCAGCAGAGCTTCCAGAAGATGAACAGTTTACAAAGAAGTCACTTCTGAGAAATTGGCTACTGGAATGTGATGGGTAGCAATTGAGCCTTGCCGTAAGCTCATGAAATCACAGTGGAACCTGGTCACAGAGTGCCAGAAGATGAGGCCCTCCACCAGAAGACACTCGAAACGATGACTGCGGAAGAGCTGCCGTCTCAAACTAGGGTCAACCATCATAACGTGGATAGAGTAAAGCTTTCAGGATCTTCATTTACTGATGGGACGTGACTCATAGGACGATGATAGAGCTGAAAACAGCGATTAATAATTAGAACTTGGAACGTAAGCAGTATAAATCTAAAAAAAAATGGAAGTCATCAAAAAATGAAAAGGAACATAGGAAGATTTATATCCCAGGGATTAGTGAGCTGAAATGGCCCGTTACCGGCCATTTTCAATCAGGCTATCATGGTATACTGAGCTGCTGGTCGTAGGAGCCATCAAACTGGTTCTGACCCACAGTGACCCTGTGCACAACAGAAGGAAACACCGCCTGCACCTGTGCCGTCCTCATAACTGTTCTTATTTCTGAGCCTATTGATGCAACCGCCGTATCAAACACTTCAGTCGCGGTATTCCTCTTTTCCACTGCCCCTTGACGTCACCCAGCACGACGTCCATCTCCAGGGACTGGGCTTTCCTGTCAACATGTTCAAAGTAAATGAGACAGGTCTGTCATCCTTGCTTCTAAGGGCAGCATTCTGGTTATACTTCTTTCCATACAGATAAGTTTGTCTCCAAAAATATCACCCAAAGCGAACATGATTTCAGTTGTCACTACAGAATAAAAATGTTTTATGTAAATTATGTGGTTTGGGATAGATGGATGTACAAAATCTGGGGGAGTAATACTTGTGTGAGATTTCAGGCACTGTCATATTAAATGGAGTAAGGAGAAAGACGTTATATTATGTTCTAATTAAACCAAACTATATTAATTTAAGCTGAAGTAATAATTTCAGGGTTATGAAAGAGTGATATTTTGATCTGTCTATGAAATTCTTATCTACTCATTATAACTGTAAAAACAGATATTCTGGTTGCCAAAATTGAACAGAATTGTTAAGTAGAACGGTGGAGGTAGAATTCCATTAGGGATGGAAAGGATGATAATCAGAGCAGCTTTCATGAGTATTTTGGAGGAACATTCAACCTAGATGCAGGAAAATTGGGTGACCACATCTCCTAAATGGTTTTTTAAGTTGCCTGAGTATAAATGAAGCATTGTCTACATATAATATAAATATAAATCTATCAATAAAGTCATGGGTTTATTATGTGCAAACAGCTAAAGATCTACGTAATCGTTAAAAACTATAGCAATCAAAACCATCAAACCTAATGATCAAATCTTATGCATTACCAACAACATAAATGGTAGTTACCTTTACAAATGCAACAATTTTCAAGGAGATTGTTGCTAAATACAAGGAGTTCATCACAAAATCCATTAGATTCCACCAATCATGGATGTAATCTTGGAGTCCACCATCCCACATTTGTTTAATTTCTCCCCATATAAAACCTGCAATCATAGAAAGATTCATTGTAAGTGAGACTTTTTCATAGAATCACTAAAGAAATGCAGAGATACAATTCGGTAAGGACAGAATCTTAAAGCTGTGAGTCAGTCTAGTTGTAATGTCTTTATCTGATGGGTGAGAATACTGAGCCCCAGTTTGGCTGCTCAGCTTTCATCAGAAAGATCTCAGCAAAGTGCAGAGGAAACTTTGAGAGCAAATTCACTTTCTTTTCTCTGTTTGAAATTTTCATAACATTGCAAGATTGCATTTAAGGATAATGTCCTTAGAACCATGTATTTCTGTCTTGAAAAATGTGCCATGTTCTTATAAACAGGTATCTTGAGACACACACCCCCAAGTCAAAATGGCTCAAAGCCTCCAACATAATGTATGTAGTGATCGTACTTGGCTTTGACAATTGTGCATTGTACCTGTACTTTTTACCATTGTCAAAGGGCTGATTGCAGTTCTGGAGAGAAGATGGTTATAACATTCACCGTAATGTGTTTAAAAATCTTAAATCAAGCAACTGAGCACTGGTCATGGAGTGGCTTCAGTGCTAGCCTGTTACTCTCAGGTTCAGTGGCTCACACCCACTATCCGCTCCACAGAAGGAAAATGAGATTGCCTGCCCCTTTAAAGATTTACAGTTTCAGACATCCAAAACGTCATAAGGCAATATCCAGAGGAAAGATAAAACTGCTTTTCCTTGGCTATGGTCACAGTTTTAGTAGGATGTGTTTCTTTTTTCAAATTCTATGAAGTACTTAACAAAATATTGATTTATCTCCATAATCTTATATTGTTATAAAGCTCTTGTTATTGCCAGTGATCAAAAGAAAGATATTGAAGTATCTGAGGACCAGGACATATTAAAAGTATGAGTATAACATTGTAGCAATTGATTAGACGCTTTTCAGGATAATACCTGATGGGTCACGTAAAGCCTAGAGCAGAGTTCCACCTGCAGAGGGTGTAGAAAGTTAGAAAAAGTCCTGCCTTCACAGTTAAACAAGAGAAAGTACAAAATCTGATTACCTATTTTTCTAGCATTCACTAGAGGGCTGACATCCCAGGAAACCTATGGAAACACCATAGAAAGAAATTTCTCAAGGGACGCAATGTGGACATTAGTTCTCTAGTGGTGGAGAGTAAGAGTCAGGGACATTGGCACCACAAAAAAAGAGTAAAAAGAATTCTCTAAGATCTTTAAACTGAACGAAATGCCAGAAATCTAAGTGTGGGTTAGCACGGCAGGATTGAACATCATTGACCACATCTATTGCTTAAGAGAAGGGGGATGGTTCACACGGTTCCTGTGGGAACCACACACAGCTTATCTCCCCAAGGGTCTTTTTCTCTAAAAAACCAAAAGATTTAGCCCTAGGGAAGAAACAGAAAATAGTCCTTAGCCATGCATTTCTACCACAGTCAGCGATGCCCTACGGCAGAGGAGGACCTCGATTCTGCAAGTGATCTATAAAGGTTGGCAATTCTCGCTGCTGCTGTTGCTGCAAAAAAATATCAAAAACAAAAATTGAGAATCACTTCTAAGTCCAGTCCCCAAAATCTATGGAGAGAAAGTCAGCCACACTCTGACCCTGGAACAGCATCTCGCCGCTCTTCATTATGAGGCTAACATGCCAAGTAAGATGCAGCCTCTGACAATCACTGGAAGAGGGACAAGAATGTAAACAGAGCCATACATGTAAAGAGGAGGCTAAACACCATAAGTGAGATCA